TTGTGCATTTAAAAATTTTTTACAATTATTACTTTCTGAAAATGAAATTTTTGTAGTACATTAATAAATATGATTACAGATACACTGAACTATGAAGGTGTTAAATATTATGCAATAAACAGTGGCAATTTCACGCTCTCTAATCACAAACGTGTAATTAATTATTCATGCTACAAACACGAATTCGACTCATCAAGTCATCCAACTTATATGTATAGTTTTAATTTATTATTAGGATGAAGATTTGTTTAGCATCATTTATTTCACATTAAGACTTCTCTGGCTTTACTCATTTTATATATTTGTTTAATTTGGCTTACTTGTTACTTGTTATTTTTAGTATTATTAATAAAGGCAACAATCTGTTTAATTTGCTGATATATCATCTTTGTTTACTTTCATTTACTGTCATAAGTACAGATTATTTTATCTCTTAAAGTTGTTCAAAAATCGAATAATCTCAGAAAAGCACTCTGAAATATTAAAATTGTTGCTTTTTCTAATATTAGCTGTGAGAAAAAATTCGGAAATTGAAAATTCAAACGAACGATTGCTGCTGAAAGTAATGCGTTGAGGTGGTCGTTTCAGTGAAGTACGAAATGTGCTAACTAATTGTGATCGAAATGATTGACTGCTTAAACAGAACAGAATAAAATTCATCATTTTTCCAATAATAACGAAAAATGAGGCAAGAATATTCATGTGGTACCACGAAACTTCAAGTTTATTCCTCACGTCAGGAACACGTCGTGACATCAAAGAACTTACAGACGATATTATCGCTGATGGACCCTGCAAAGCATACTTGAATATTGAGATTAGATTCAAATTGAATCGATCATTTGAAAGGAACAATAATAATATTTTTCAATAGTTATAAAGATTAGATAGATTAGATCTATAAATCAAACAGGTAAATAAATAGATGGATGGATAGGTTTGATTAGAGAATCCATTTCTTGAATGGACAGATACTGAGACTGATAACAAAATGTAATAAAGTTGTTATCATTGTTTATTATCATTATTATCATCACTGTTATTATTACTATTATTCTTCTTCTTGTTATTATTAAAACTATTTATAAAACAATATTTGTTAAATAGCACTGCAAGCTGCTGATTGTAAATAATCCTTGCTGTAATAATGTAAAATAAAATTTGAAATACCGTGAAAATGCATTTACTAGATTTTGGATTGATTGTTACAGACCTTATCATTATTACCAAGTTGGTTAGTAGTATTATTATTTATGATTCTACTAATGTAGTTAACAGATGTAATTATGACATACAATAACACGTAAACTATGTGAACAGGCTAAATTTAAAAAAAATGCATAATACGTGAGCACAGTGGTAGTGTCACGTACACTGATAAGGATAATGTTCATATTTTTGAATCTTTTTAATCAAAGAGACAATTTATAACGTGGAAAATGTATATTTGACCTGAGTTAGCGTAAATGATATCACAATTGCACAAACAGTGATTGTCACTTTCTGTTCGGTTTTTTGCAAAGCTTTCTGAAAATAAATAACATTTCAGTGATATTTTTAGTATGCCAAACAACAGACTCGTACTGTTTTAAAAGACTTATTGCGAAGCAATAAGTCAGAAATATCAGATAATATGTATAATTCAACTGAATCATAGAAGAAGAGGATCTAATCTATCATTTAATTTACTTTACTTTAGAAGCTTTTGTGATAATTACAAGTGATAGGTAGTAGTTGTAGTAGTAGTGGTAAGATGAATTATGATTAAACATAAATGATTACAGAAGAAAACTCAATATTATAAAGTACGAGAATAGCACTAAAGTGAAGTAAATTCAAACCTGCTCAGCAAATATTTTTGATTGGAGATCAGTAAATGATTGATGCTGATAAGAACGTTTCGAGCTATTCTTTCTTAGATGCATTGGATTCTGATGGAAGATAAAATTGCTCTTTCTAATGTAACTTATCAATGCTATGTTCAAAACTGCAAACAAAAATGAAACTTCAAACTTTTCTGATTTCAAATTTATAAAAAAATTTGAATTATAATTGAATTTATCATTCAAAAAACTGAAAAATTTTAAGTTTTCAAAATATATATAGATTTAAAATTTTTGCGAAAATACTTTTTTAACATTTTAATTAATATTTAGTTTTGGCTCGTTTATAAAATTTGTTGTCATGCATTTAATTTCTCACAGTATTTACAGTAACTGCTTTTAGTGAAAAAATTAATTTATCAAAGCAAGCATATTAACAATGTACCAATGAGCAGAATCATAGGGATGAAAACAACAAAGAATGCATTGATAACAGTATTCCATTTTACATAATTCTGATAAAATGCTGAGGTGGCATTGTCAAATGGTAACCAACTGCAAGTATTCATTCTGTGCTCACATAACACGTTAAATGAACTATAATAAAGCTAAATCTGTGTTGATAAGTTGTCAAATTTTATATAAATTTGATAAACTAAGGATTATTTTCGAATGATTTGATATGTAACACAAAAAAATTCCATTACAAAAATAAATTATTGGTAACTTTCAATTATCGCATTGTTTGCTATAAAATTTTAGCGCGAAAATTTGAACAAAAATTAACCTATGTCGTGTGACATCGAAACATTTAGCCATGACTTGAGTATGATGACAGTAGTCATGAACTAAACATATATACGAGAAATGATTATAGAAAGTTAAATAACCAGTTGAAATAACAATAAGAGTTACGTAAATTGTAACGGAAAGACGTGACCAATGAAAGCGAAGATCAAATGGATCTCGAATAGCCATTACACGTTCTGCGGACACTGCTATCATTATCCTGTAATGTTAGGTAAGAAGTTATTTTTTCCATACAAATTTGATGTTGCTATTTAATTTGCGCATAATTAAGCTTGTGAAGTTGTAAAAACTGCTTTCATCATTCATTTTTCAATGAAAGATTCCAATTCATCAAATTTGAATTTAAATAAGTTTTGGAGTAATTTAAGGTTAATTAATTAATTAACTTGTATTATTTATCTCTGAAATGGAAGTGACTTCATTCATGAATTTTGAATTTTATATCAAAGTTCGATTGCAATACATAGATCAGTCACTAACGAACATGCTGAATCCAAATAATTTCTTGCGACAATTTCAAAAAATTTATTTGAAGTCAAGATTGAATTTGAGGTTACATTTTATAGCAAATCTGAGATGAATTCGCAGAGCGCTTACCACGTAGCAATGGCGGAATTCCAATTAGCAAATGTTATAAGATGAATTTTGGTTGTTAAATAAAACCATCGAAATAAATAACTTTGAGCAAAGGAAGAAAAGTTTGCCATTGAATGAGGCACCATTAGGAGTAGAAAGCAAATATCGCAAACCGCCAAACAAGAGAGTAAAATTTTGGCCCTGGTAAGGTGAATCTTTTGTTTTAATTAATATTAAGTAAATCTGCTATTATATCAAATTAGTAGAGGTACCTGAACGTAAAGCTGATCAAAATAATCAGTCTATCTCAAAATAGATTTCTATCAAACTTTTTAAACATTTTTACGATTCATGTTTATTATTACACAAGAAAATAATAATAATAATTATTATTATTATATTTACTATTATTATTATTATTATTATTATTGCTGGTGTAATAAATTTTTGCTAAGTGTAATATGCCTTGTTATTATTCAACTGAAAAATTATTACTGAAATTATGCTAAGTTGAATCAATTTTGGAAAAAAGTGATAGCAAAGATATAAAATAATTAATAATCATTTGTAAGCGTAATCTAGTTTGAATATGACGAGTTAAGTCTCATTTATTTAAGAAAATTTGCACACGTTAATAGCAAACCTTGACTTCATAGTTGAACCAAAGAAAACAATAAGATTTAAGGTATTGCCGATAATGCCAAATATGCAGATAGGTGGAAAGATATACGTAAAAAGAATTTCTTCAAGCTTTGATCCCGAAAGTCGTTGTTGTTCCAAAGTGAAGCATTTATTGGTTGGATTTGAACTTGAACTTGAACTTGAACTTGAACCCAGATCCATAAGATTAAAATACGAGTTTGTTTCACTCCAAGAAACTTTAATTAAGTCAACTAAAGGAGAAATAAATGATCAGAACTAAATAATGGATTTGATAAGCGCATCACTCCATGTCATCACTATAATATCAGAATTTTTGAATTATTTGTAGGTTGATGTGAAAGCATAACAAATGTTTACAACGATGCTGCTGCGATCTTTGTTATGCTGTTATTGCTGAATGTTCTTTTCAACCAAAATCCCTCAACGAGAATATCAAGTGCCATTGTCCATTTTTTATTGCTAAGAATTTTGAAAATATTCACTCTAAACTGTATCATATTGCAAACAAAGTTGCAGAAGTAGTACTAAATTATAGACAAGATAAAGCTAGCTATGAAAGTAAAATGGTAAGCATAGGTTTTAAGTGAATGAAATCATCGATGTGTGGTTGAGAATTCGTTAAATGATGGAAAAAAGTATCAAGTAACGTGTTCGTGTAAGCTGTAAGCTCAAGTTTATTACTTTACAATTTTGTACAATAATACAAATTGGAATATGAAAATTAAGCCATTACTTTTGCTCCAAATTTGATATAAATGATCATAATTTTGATTCAGTCTTAAGAAAATAAAAAAGTATGGAAATGAAGTAACTTGCTGCAGTGATCAAATTTGTGCGTACAACACTTTATCAAATTTGAATTAAGCAAACTTGACTTGAAAAACTGTCGCGCAAGAGCGAGAAAGTTAAGTAAGCAAGTAAGAAGTCAGTAAGTAAGTAAGGAAGTAAGGAAGTAAGAAAGTAAGTAAGTAAGTAAGTAAGTGAATAAATGAATAAGTGAATAAGTAAATGATTGCAGATAAGAAAATAAATCAAAATTAGTCAGCTGCTCTCACTTCAATTTATTTTGCAGAATCTTTGTCATTTCACAAATGATACATTCACTTCACAAGTGTTTATTTATCATCAATCAGTACTTGCTAATGTTATTTCAAATTTGAGAGATTATTTTTATGGCGATTCCACTACTTATGTAAAAATCTGTTTACTCTAATGAATGAATCCAGCAGGTTTTCGCTGTAATTTTAAAAAATACTACCATTACAGTATCTTTGTTCAACAAATATTAAATACTTTTGTCTATTTTCTTTTGCTAAAAATGAATAAATAGTAACTGCTTGTACTTTTATCAAGTATAATAAACAAACTGACCATTGCATAAATATAAAAAATATTTTCAGTCTTAAAAAAGTATATTATAAACTTATCATAGATCGGCTTGAATGTCATAACACAGGATAAATAAGAAGAAAAGGATATGATGAATCCATTTCTTAATATTTAGCCTTTAAATAATAATTGCTATTATCAATTAAT